CCTCAAGAATTTGATCTTGGATTTGGAGGCCACCTCCTACAGTAGGGCAGAGACAGAACTTCCAAACTGCATGACGTTTATCTTATTTTAGGCCATATATAAATTAAAGTAAGTAAAAATATACCATATTCCCTATCACAGTTTAAGTCCTAAAAAATTGAGTCCCATTGTCTTTATTACTATTTTATAAGTAGTAGTACTGATATCATTCCAGTGCTCTAAATTGAGAAAGATCTCAAAGGATCACGCTGATCCACATCTATACCATCAGTCTTCAGCTTTGTAGGGTTTTGCATGCTGGGAACCATGAAATTGACTGGCAATAAAGGCTTCAGATCCCTCCTCCATGACTTGCAGGGAATGGACCAGTGATTCCCTGGGGAGCATGAAGTTGTAGCTTAGCTTCCTGGTGAAACAAATAGGCCTCTGCTTCCCAGCTGAATATGCTCAAAAATGTCTGACTTTCCCTTTGCTCTCTTCCTTTTATTAATATGAATAACTAGATAATTATGATGATAACTTTAGTATATTAAAAAAGAAAATTTAATGTATATACTTTGATAGAAGTAGCCAATGTCTAATAATTTTACCTAAGGAGTAATCACTCAAATGGGGAGAGAGATCTGTACAAAGGTACTTAATGTAGCATCATTTATAAGGGGGGAAATCTGTAAAAAACCAAATATATAATTGAAAAATCCGACAGAGGCTGAAAACCAGGACTACAGGCTTTATTAGAGGAGAAGGACCTGCCAGGCTGTCTTGAAAGGGGAGAACAGCAGCACATGCAGGGGTTGGCACGCCTTTTGAGGGGCGGAATGGGAAGGGGTGTGGGGCTTAGTGTACTCGGCGCACACTGATTGGTGGCTTACTGCATTGTCCATATAGGACAAGGGCTTAGGGTATTTGGCAGGTGTGGATTGGTGGCCCAATGTATAGTCCATATAAGGTACATAGTTAGTCACTCAGGTATTTCCGGGTTGCAGATTACATCATACTCCACCCACCAGTTGGGGGAAAGGAGGATCTATCAATAATAATGGGTACAATGAAATAAAATTTGGTAGGAAGATACCAGGGCTTATTGTACTGGCATTAAATATTATTTAGTTGATTCAAATTTTTTGCCATGGGAAGAGACTGATAAAAATATTGAATTAATAAAGTAAGTTATATAAAAATATCATCAGATTTATGTAACAGTATGCAAATTGTCTATCCATCTTATGAACTATGAATTGCTGAAAAAAATGTTCCACAAAAATATGTCCTTTTGTTATTGTTATTTGTATTTTTCTGCACTCAAAAACCATTTTTAAGGAAAATAAGAAAAATATTAGATTAGTAAGAATGGTTGATAACTTCCTGAAAATAAAAAGAATAGTTGCTGTTTGAGCAAGGCCAAAGGAAGAAAACATTTGGAAAACTTTCTATTCAACTTTTAATTTTTTTGTTTTAATTTAATCTAGTATTTTTTTTAATATATTTTATTTTTTTTTTTACAGAGAGGAAGGGAGAGGGATAGAGAGTTAGAAATATCGATGAGAGAGAATCATCGATCAGCTGCCTCCTGCACACCCCACACTGGGGATGTGCCTGCAAGGAAGGTACATGCCCTTGGCTGGAATCAAACCCGGGACCCTTCAGTCCGCAGGCCAACACTCTGTCCACTGAGCCAAACCGGTTAGGGATAATCTAGTATTTTTAACTATGAAAGTAACTCAGCTTCATAGTAAAAAGAAATAATAATAATAATAATAATACAAATGTCCATAAAGTGAAGTGAAACTTATCTGTATTTCTTGAGGAGAACGTGAATCAACCAGAACTGCTGATGGGAGTGCAAACGGGTGCCATTGCTTTGGAAAACTGCTGGGTACTTTATTCCAGCTATTTGTATAAATGCAAACGTATTCACAGCAGCAAAAGTCATCATAGCCCCAAGCTGGACACAACCCAAATGTCTGTCAATGGTGGAATGAATAAAATAAATTGTGATATTATTCATATACAGAAAAAATAAGGTACTTCTGCATACAACATTAAGAATCTCACAAACAATGCTGAGCAAAAGATGAAAAATGTGAATTAGTATATGTTATCTGTTTCCATTCATGTAAAACTGAAAAACAGGGAAAGCTAACATGTCTGTATATGGTTGCATTGAGTGTGAAGGTATAACTGGGAAGGGGAACAAGAGTTATTTCTGGGTGCTAGTAATATTCTCTTTTTAAATCGTAAACTAAAATCTCTAAAACAAATATTTAATATCATGTGTTCCTAGCTAAAATGTATAGGACAAATTCCCATCACATCTAAACAATCAACAGAAAAAAAACCCAAATCTGATTTTCCTCATATGCTTATTTGCCCCATTAACATGAGAAATTGATTAAAATTGGGTGTTGGTAGTGGGCAGGGATAACAGACTTTGTTACTAACTGGAAAAAGTCAAAAAGTTGACCACCATGCTTTTGTTTATCATCTCTCTAAGTCAGAGAGCTGTTTCATTTTGCTTTGTTAAATTGGTGCTGGACTATAAAGGAGTTTGTAGCATTTTAAGTGATAGAAACCCCACCTCAAATAAAAAGTGATTTCTTTGTATCTTTTAAAAATCCAAGGGTAGATTTTGTTTTGAGAGAGGTTGAATACAGTTGAAGATTAAGTAGTGTCATCAGGTGGCTGTTCCCTAAATTCACAATATGGCTAGCAGCGGCTCCCTGGCCTACATCCTGCTGAATTCCCACACAGTGAAAAGGTAGGGTCTATGTCCCAACATTCTCCGTGAAGGCCTCAGGACTCTAAATGGATCACACCCATTTAGAAGCAAACATGTTGGCTGGAGAAATGCTTTGATTGAAGTAGTTTAGTTCCACATCACATATTACATATCTGAGCTATTCAGGCATCAATCTAGAGTGGGGGAGAAGATGAACCCCAAAGGGAAATCAGAGTGTGATCACCAAGAAGAGGTTCAATGGACCCATCTAGAGTAAAATACACAGGGGAAGAGGCCTTATGAATTTAACCTTGACATGTTTATTAATGTTAAAACTAGGTAGCTGAAATGAACTGAATGCATGTGCACAATCCCCACCAATTCAGATGTTGATGCCCTCATCTCCAATGTGATGGTACTTGGAGGTGGGGCTATGGAGAAGTGATTAGGTCATGAGAGCCCTCGTGAATTAGATTAATGCCCTTGAGAGAAGAGCCTTGAGAGAGGGGAGCTCTCCCTGCCAAACAAGGACACAGCAAGCAGCTGCTGTTTGCACACCAGAAAGAGGGCCCTCACTAGAATCAAATCATCCAGCACCTTGATCTTGGATTTCCCAACCTCCAGAGCTGTGAAAAGTAAGTTTGTGTTGGTTAAGCCATTTGTCGATATTATTTTGTTATGGCAACCCAAGCCAATTAAAACAGCCAAATCTCACTTTTTGAAAAAGTAAAGATTTAATGAGGTAGAAGTGTCCCCTATCCCCATATTTCCACCACATTTTCCAGTTTCCTGTGGTTATCTGGATGGCAGTGTTTGCTGAGATGAGCTGTCCTGGGTTGTGAAACGCACCAGGGGTAACGGATAATGATTGCTGCCACTGCAGGGAGACCATCTTGCACCAGAGGAGCTGCATCTTTTTAATCCATTCTTTCTATTACTGGTTTAAATAATATTTCTGACAAGATTCTGTGTGTGGTTTTTTTGTTTCTTTGTTTTGTTTTTGTCAATAAACAGGTATTGGGCATTATTTGTAGGGCTGTTAACACATTACATGAAAAAAAATGAGCTATTTAAAAGCCAAGAGAAATACTTCCAGAAACCTTTAGGTCTAAAATGAAGTTTTAGGAACTTCCAAATGAAAAGTCTGTAATATATACTAAAGTCTCTTCCAAATTGGCCTTTGTTATAGCCTTGGACACATTATTCCCTTTTTACTTCTAATCTAGAACATGGATAATATTTTTCATGTTCAACTTAAAGTGTTTAGTTAATCGTCTAAGAATAATTCTGGAGAGCTTTCATCAGCATGGGTGTTAGTACCCCATTCCTCTGACTGAATGTGATATGCCTATTGTGTTCTTGATGTATAAACTGATCCCTGGGATTAATCATCTTCTCTTTACAAACTAGAAATTGTAGATATTTAATGGCTAGAACTATATCAATCAATTTAATGAGTCTCATTTAAAACATACTGATCATTACCGCCGGAACCGGTTTGGCTCAGTGGATAGAGCGTCGGCCTGCGGACTGAAAGGTCCCAGGTTCGATTCCGGTCAGGGGCATGTACCTGGGTTGCGGACACATCCCCAGTGGGAGGTGTGCAGGAGGCAGCTGATCGATGTTTCTCTCTCATCGATGTTTCTAACTCTCTATCTCTCTCCCTTCCTCTCTGTAAAAAATCAATAAAATATATTAAAAAAAAATAAAACATACTGATCATTATAATATTGAAGTATTATCAACATTCATCCTTATTCCTATTTTCTAAGTTTTCCAAGTTCTTCCTTCCTGCCTGCCTGAGGAGAATAAATTAGCTGAAGCTTTTTTCAAGTTCTGGGAATTCAAGTGCACCTACTGGGTGATCTGCAGAAAAATTCTAAACTATCTTTGCATTGTTTACTACAGTACACCTTAAGCAAATCACATAGTTTCCATTTCTGTGATGGAATATTCTGTCATCCCAGTAGGAAGTGTGCCATGGAGGATACACACTGGTTAAGTTGGCCCAGGGGAATCTTGGGCAGCTTTGCAGCTGGATAGGAAGGTGGGATATGGACAGGGTTGTAGCACCTGTCACTGTGTAGAGAACCACAGGAGAGTCAGCTCACCTGACAACACAGGCAGCATCCCTGTGCCCTTCCAGAAGATAAGCACAGGACAAAGGGAAAGCCTTCCTAGATAAGGAGAGCCATCCAGTCACCAAACACATTATACAGGTAATTAAGTGAATTAAAACCTGAGTCATCATTAATGATTTTGGTTTCTGCTTTGTTTTCAGTTGTTTGAATTTATGAACTTCTTGGCTGAGAATGTCATCTTCTGCTACATGGATCTGGCATTGTTCACATACCAGAATCATATCTTTAATGCCCTTTTTATACTTGGAACCTTTGTATCCTTTGAAATACAGAATAGGGGCTGACGAAAGAGAACAAACTACTTACTTTTACCAATTATTCTGTTAAATTGTTAAAGTAATTTCCTCAGGCTTACCACAGGGCTCAAATTTTAGGTATATATGTAATTTCTAGTTAAATTCTTATGGTTAAACATAAGAACTTTGGGAAATACTGGGAGGGGGGAACTAAAGGAGAGTGACTTTTTGAATATTCAAAATATGTTTAAAATTATGAATCATTTATATTAAAATTTCAAGCCATTCTTTACAGAGAAATATATTTAACCTGAATTAGTATGATCAGAAGATTATTAAGCTTTAGAAATATTTTCATTACAAGATGGTAAAATCTTTGTTGTAAGGACTTTGAAATAGGATATGCAAAGTAAAGAGCAAATGAAATTAGCATGATGGATATGTTTCAATATCTTAATAATTGGGCACATGTAAGATTATTTTAATAAGAAAACCTTTCCTATAAACAAAATAATAGAAAAAATATAAACCTCACTTTTAATGCAGAGGACTTTTGTAGTGCTAGGCCTGGTGTGTAGGCACTCCCAATGGGAATGGGTATCTGAACAAAAGGATACTGAGGCACTGGGATGTCCCCAAGGACAGTCAGTGGCTGTCATCATTCTTTCCACTGGGAAAATGGACATACCCACTCAGATTCCAGGAGATGACCTTATGGCCAGGAGAGTCAACTCCTTTTTCAAAGCCCTGTTCTAGCCAAGCACCTGTCTCCTGTTCTCTCTTCACAGAGCACTCAGCTAAACCCTCAGATTTCATCCAAAACCTGGGTCTTAGAAGGAAGCTCCTCTTCCCAACAGCTCCATCTCATTTGAGGGTAAACTAGACTAGGTAGACTATCAGGGAAGTGGTCCAAGATGACAGAGGGGAGAAATGACTACCACCAATATTTTCACAGATTTTAATGTGTACAGTTTGGATTTAGTAAAATGCTTCTTAAAGCATTAGTTGTATCATATGTTTATATAGGCAATTTCTCTCAAAATTAAATCCACTAAAAGAAAAAAATAAAGAGTGAAGCTTGCTAGATACAGGGCCTATAATTGATGAACAGTGAGATGGTAATCAGGAGCCAAAGCACATTTATCCTTTCTGAAACACTGCTCAGGAAGCATGCCACAACCCTGAACACTTGCTGCCTTCCTTTGCAGCAAAATTGAGCATAAAGTCAGTCTCCAGCAACAATAAATATGATGAGAAAATTTACAGAGATTGAAATTGAATTGGCTATTGTAAACCAAATGTATTCAAATATAAATATATATTATTTCTAAAAAGGAATTGGCATTGAAAGATGAATTTTGGAAGGAAGTTGGACATACATGTGTTGACATGTTTATCCCTGTTTTCTGGGTCATAGTATAGAGAAACTGAAGGAAATAATATTTAAAGCTCAAGGACTAGTGCCCTTACTAAGTAATGCTTTCCTCAATGTTTCCCAGCTAGCAATTCTTGTTGCCAGAGCCTGCAACATATATCCCCTCTCCTTCTTCCTGAACCTGGGTCGGAAGCAGAAGGTCCCCTGGAACTTCCAGCATATGATGATGTTTTCAGGTATGTGAACTACATGCAGCGTCAGTGCTACTGTTCTCTCCCATGTCACTATGTGGAAAACCACAGGGACACGTAGTGACATTCTGGGGAAGCATAACTCCTACTTACCCCAGCATACCCAGCATCATGCTGACACTCCATAAATTATGAGCAACAGTGGGGTTTCTCTTTCCAGAAAACAAATGAAATTTAAGGAAATCTTGGTGGAATGGCCTCAATGTACATACAGCATCTGCCAGAAACTGGCCTAGAATCGGTATTTTCATATTGGGGAATTGTCATGATCATTTCAGAAATTGTATACTTGAAGGTAAGTATTCTGTAAATTATAACATCCTTGTCCAATGTTAAATCTCCTTCTCCTTAGAATCCCTGTTCCTTCCTTATGCTGAGCTCCAGGAACTTATCATAGTTAATACAAAAGCAAATCATATCTAAGTTATTAGTTGAGAAAAACCATGCCCCTTTATTAGTTGAAAAAACAACTACTAATTGGCACCAAGTGCTAAGAGCAATTCCAGGGACTGTATGTGAGTCTGTCAAGCTCTCTGCTCTCAAGAAGCTTATGTGCTCCTTGCTTAAACCAAACCTGGAGGCTCCCTTTTCCAAAAGAAAATAGACCAAATGAATTTGATGACCCTGAACTACTCTGGGGATTGTGGTTTCTTTCTGTTCAATCAGTTTTCCTACCATTAGTCTTTCCTGTTTGGAGACCTTTCCCTTTACATGCTTTCTAGGTGTGTATACACTTACATTTCACTCACGGTTTACTGGATGATATAAGAGAGTAAAACTGACAACAAAACGCTTCTTCAGAATAGACCAAACAAAAAAATTTCCAGGTATACAGGAAGATATGGAAAATATTTCAGAAGCTATCATTTATTAAAAATCTACTATTTGCTACTCACTATAGATCAATCCTAAGAGGTAGATATTAATTTTATTTTCTTCAAAGTAGAAGCTGAAATTCAGGACCTCAAAGACCTTAAGTAACTGGGCCAAGGACAAAAGCATTCTTGAGCTCAAGTCTATGAGACTCCACTTTAAACCCACCATAGTGTTCCAAAATCTACATTTTTAAATGTACTAGAAATAAAGGACTTGTTTCACCTTCAGTTTCATTCTATCCTGTTCTGCACAGTAAAGGGTGGCAACTCCCAGGCTGAGAAGGAGTTGTTTAATTAAGGGCAGGCAAATGGAGGTTCAGAGTTTAAAACCTCCCTCTGCAGGCCTCTGACAGAGCTTTCTGCATCACCAGATATGTGAGAGTGGAGAGAGAGTCACAAAGAGGGTGAGCTGGCCTAACAGGCCACCTTTGAGTTAGAACAATAAGAAACTGGTCATGAGTTGACATTTTAAGGGAAAGCAAAAGGCAAATTTGATCACTTGTGCATAACTGATGGGCTTCATTTTTGCAAAGTATTTCTAGGAGTAGGAAAGCACTCTCTCTTCTTTCCCATCATAACATCAGTAGATGTACTCTGAAGAACACTGGTTTGTTTTTAAAACTTGGATATTACATTTAAACAATGCTTTATTTTACAAATGCTTTGAAGAAGGTGTAGTGTTTTAGATAGCTATATTGGCATATGAAGTATCTACCCAAATGGCCACCTGGCTTGATGGTTTCTCCAAGGTTTGGCAACTACATTTGCTGAGCTATAAAACTCGAGCTGCACTAAAACTGAGGGCCAAGAATATGGTGTGCAGAACTGGGAGAATGAAGAAGCCCTAATTTGGTGGTATCTTTATGATATTCTAAAGTAGAAAGTCAGCAAACTATGGACTTTGAACCATATCTAGCCCATGCCAATTTTGTAAGTAAAGCTGGAACACAGCTAGATACTTTAAAAGAAAACAAAAACATATGGTCTATGACTGCTTTTTCACTAAAGGTCAGTGTTGAGCTATTGCAACAGAAACCATATGGTCCACAAAACCTAAAATATTTACTATCTAGCCCTGTTCTAAAGCATCTTCACCCTCTAATGGGGTAGTCATTGTTGGTTTAATTCAGGGAATGCCAATAAGATACTTATGTCTTTAAAAATACCATCATACAAATATTTCAAGACATCTACATACATATAACTATAATGCCCAGAGAAAGACACCCGTTGTCTTCCTCATTTACTATCCATGTCATCTGAGGATCATCCAGTCACTTACTGTTAGCAGTTTAGCAGTTTAACCTCAAGGGTCAGTGTCATCATGGGCCAAAATGAGCTTCTATTTACAAATTTGACTGCATTTTTTGTTTTGAACACTTTTCACACTGAAATGAATCTGAACAACAAAGAGATTGGGTTACTTCATACTGTTATTACATGTTCATATTGATATTCCCTCATATGTTGAAAATCACACTAAAATTTGTCTTTTTAGTTTTAAAATGAAAAGATTGCAATGTTATTTGGAATCATAGATGCTCAGCTTGAAACTCACTCTAGACTTTTCTAAGACCTCTCCTGAGTAATGTTTTGAGACTCAGAGGCAGGACAAAGTAGCCTAGGCATATTGATCTCTTTCCCAGAAAGAGAGAGAGGAGATTGGGCATCTTGCTGACAATCTCAGGACAAACTAGAGATGATCTTGAGACTTACACTCAAGCTTCTTCATTTTGAACTAGAAGGAGGCACAGAAGCACCTGGGCAGGTTGAAGGAGCCTGGCATATTTCAGAGAATATGCCCCTCTGATGTGTCCATTTCTGCGGCACTTTGAAAAGATACTGAAACCCTGATGTATCCTATCATATAAACTAGGAAGAGTTTTAGCAAGGACAGTGTGACCACAGTGTGCAAATGTAGTATAAAATCTTATCCATGAGCTCACACAGCACCAGGTCACCAGGCTTTGCTCCTAAATTTGTTTGTTGCCTATTCGGTTCTCCCCAGAATATGTTGGCATTCAAATAGATGCCAGCAGCAACAGATTAAGAGAAAGGCATGGAAGAAAATCTGTAAATTAAGGAAAGTTTTCTCTTTTTTTCTTATTTTTTATTGTTGACACTATTACATATGCCCCCCATTTCTCTTCTTTGCCCCCCTCCACCCAGCAAGAAAAGTTTTCCATTAGCATTTCAATTTCCTTTCAATGGTGAAAGATTGCCATTATTATCCAAGTTTGGGGACATCAGTGTTCTACAGAAGGATAACTTCAGAACCACCATCAGTGTATAGGAGACTATCTTTCTCAGTGTGTTTCTGGTGAGCCATCAGGCAATGATCACAGTCATCTTGAGACTTTGACTCATAAGTGGCTTTCCCCAGCTCATGCATCAGTTCATCAGGAAGAAAACATGCATGGAATTTGTGAAGGTGAAGAGCCAGTATCACTGCTGCTGCAGTGCCTGGGAACAGGACTCCATGTCTGTGACTTCCCAAGCTAATGGAAGTCCATTAGGTCATCAGGACTGTGTCACAGCAATCACCAGCCACCAGAAAAAGGATACTTCCATGTGCTCTCTTAATCCTTGATGACCAAAAGTGTGGTCCTCAGAACAGCAGCTTTGCCATTATGTGGGAGCTCCTACTTGTGCATGTAAGCATGTGAGAAGGACATCCCAGAATATAATGGCAGTTCTTAATCTCTGTTCTGAGCTGTCTCTTCAGCTTATTCCTCCCACCTCTTCCTGTTTTCCTTAGACACTCCTGGATTCCAATCTTGCTTCTTACTCTTTCATTTGCCATACGATCAGCACAGACCTATTTAGCCAATCACTGCATTTCTTCCCATTCCTTGAGCATGCTGAGTTCTTACCCTATTCGCCCAGATTCTCCTGCTTCCCAGAATCCTTTCCATACCTCCTGTCTTCACTTTTTTAATCTTTAGATTTGGCTTAGACATCACTCCCTGTAGGAAGCCTTGGTAAGTCTTCAAGTGTGGGTGTGTCCCACTCATCTGTTTTTATAGGCCCATTGTTTCTCCTCTCCTAGTACCCATCACATTCCACTGTGATTTTTGGTTTGCCTGCCTGCGTGCCCCTTTAGACTGGGAGCTTCATGAGGCCGGTGCTTATTTGTTTGGTTCCCTCTTTACCTCAGCACCCAGCACACTATAATTAAAAAAAAAAAAAAAAAGGGTTTTATTTGTTGATCTCTGTCTTCAAATTATTGTCGCTTAGCTCTCACCTGTGGAACCAGGCAAGCCTGGTCTGAGAGCTTCCAATTCTGGAACTGAAGCTTGCCTGACTGATGGAACAGGACTAGCCTTCCACAAATAACTGGTGGACAAATAGGCAAATGAGTGAACAAACTACAACATTGTCTATCTGACTAAAATTGCACATTTCATTAAAATGCTGCTCAAGCAACAATAATTTTAAGAACAGAGATCAACAAATAAAACCTTTTGTTTTTTAAATGGAAGGAAATGTTTTTCCTGTACTCACTTCCCTGAGTGCTGACAATAATAGTAAACATTGTTAACACTTCCTCAAACATTGCATTAGGATCTGAGGATTCTTTTCAAAGCTTTTCTTGCTTTGTATTGCGGGGATGTGTTTGTTTTCCAGTTAAGAACCTGAGGTCTCATTTAAAACTCAGGAACTTTAACAGTAGGTGATTTGAATCAAGAATCAGACTAAATCTAACTTCAAATTAGGAAAAAGATTTTCATTAATGTATATACAAGAGTTATCTGAGATTCTGAGCCATCAAGCAACAGGACTTTTTCTTTACTCTCCTCTTCCCTTGTTCCGTACTTCCAGAAAGAGACAGCCTGGAAGACACCAATATTTCTGTCAGCATTCCTTGCCAGGCCTGCCTCTGCAGCCACTCACCCAGAGTCCAGTGACTGTCATTCTTCTGTCTATGTAAATTTACTGTCACAGGAGTGCATGCTCTCAGGCCAGGGTGGATGTTAACATGGGGGTGGAAAAATGCCTCTCCTCCAGAGGCTGCTTCAGATATCACCAGGCTCCTTCCGTTTTGTAGCATCATCATTCCCTAAGCCAAGGGTCCTAAAGTGGTCTCTAAACTAGGAGTGTCACCAGCGA